CTCTGCTCCACATCAGTGTGGTGCACACATTTCCAAACCACACCGTGGCCTGTTTGTTCCCTTTAAAGAGGCTGACTGGTTGACGACGCGTGATACTAATTAAAGTCCAACAATTAGTGTGAAACGTGACGTGAACCAGGTACCAAATGTCTCTAACGAGCCTCAGAAGAGCGGGAGTGAGAGTAGTCTGCATATTAACTGAGCTCACGTGAACAGAGCTCATGCACTTCCAGTCTTGGAGCTCTCTCTTGTTTGGAACGACAACGTCTTCATCTACACAGTAGAAGCCCAGTTGCTTTGATTTTAAACTTTTAGGATCAAACATAACTATAGTTCAAAGACGAAGTCTCTTTAAGGTTGCCAACAAATCTGCGCATACTATTTTAGCACGTTTGTTAAACGTCAAATCATTTCTTTCACAATGTGTGTTATCTATCACACACTCCAGGCGTCCACATGTGCATTAGACAGTTTATTTAATTGAATCACTTTTTGCAAGAAATTAAGCACCGTTTTAATGTGTTGTTGCAATATCAACAAATGTATCCACATGTGTAAACGTCATGCGCGCACAGATGTGTTGCAGCTTTGGAGATGTTCAGTGCTGCAGCATCCTGAGGACTTGGTCCAGCTCGAACCCTCTCACCTGCTTCAGAGCCGCCTTGGACAGATCCGTCCTCTGAAGGAGCCTCTGAAAAACTTCCAGCTGTATTTTCTCATCTGTCCTGCATCGAACGGCCTCGTACACTTCTTTGTAATAAGCAGGAACAGAACCTAAAAGAGCAACAACAGCCACGTGACATCCCAAATGTCTAAGCATTTGATAATGAGCTTACTTCATCTGGAGATTTAAGTTCGTTTCATGGTAACCAGATCAGTTTTAACCGGGTTATTACGTCATATCATGTGACTTTATGCCATTTCTACTTTGCTCTAAATATCTTTTTGGAGTATCAAAGCTAGTATTTGTTAAATTTTTACTTTTAAGGGGGAAAATAGGAAAAATATAGGAAATGTCAAACTTTATCAGCAGAAGCTTGCAAATAAAATGTTACAAGCACATCTGACAAGTTTTCACATGGACGGTAAAGAGCAACAAGTTGCTATGATCAGCAATAATTGTTGTGGTAGTTGCTCACACTCGTCTGAATAAATCAGCTGAGTTTAATAAATCACCAATCAGGACTTTAACTGGATCAACTTCATCTCCATCTCCGAAAACACCCGAGTGCGATTAAATCAGGTAGAAATACTATTATTCACGCGTTCATGCAATTTCCCCCGTGATTTTTCTCACGTCAAGAAAAATTCATCTCCAAACAAATATCGATTTGAAAGAAAGATGTAGAAAGTTTGCGCGTTGTACCTTCATTGATCTCTCCTGCCATGTCTCGAGCTGTCATGTGAGCACGCGAGCACCTCCATGTGATTTCCTGAAGAAGAAAAAAGTCAAGCAGAAGCTTCTTAAAGTTATAGTGAGCTCGCTGGTTGAAGTCCAAACCCAGCGAGGTGGAACAAGATGCCACCTACGCGCACCACTGCGTGCGTGTCTGCAGCAATCAAGCGCGTAATAAACATTGGATTTGTGTTTATGTTCCAGCTTTTATTGTCTTATAGGTAGCATCAGTGTTTTTACCATTTGATGTGAAAAATATAGCATATTTATTTATACATCGTAAGTTCCTGGTTTCATTACAGTACGTAAAGTTAATTTAAATCATGTTCTGTTATTCCTCATTCTTCAAATTTTTGACTACGTGAATGATGATGCCTTCATGTAACTCGTAAATTTGACTACTTTTCCTGACTCAAGGGTTTAAACGTGAACATTCACGGAATTAGAATAGTTTAAACGTTGTACTTGGTTTGATTTATTTTGGAGTTATATTTCTACCACTCTATGTTCTCATTTATTGTCCAAACTGTAGAAATTTCAAATTGTGAAAAACGCGAAGGACGATGGGCTTTAAAATTTCCGACGCTCTTCAATCTCACATGAGCTTGACGTCGCGGCGCCACTGGGTGGCGCTGCAGCGCCACTTTTGTGCCGTTGACGCTGTGCTGCGTTCAAGTGTGGCTGGGTAAACAAACAGTCGCGAACACTCGCTTCGTGCTTCAAGCTGTCGGTCTCAGACAGTCGGTATCTGGACGGTGAGACCGTCGGAGAAGGCAGCGTGAGGTTTTGTGCGTCTGGAAGATACGAAGTGAGACACCAACCAAGACGTAACAAAGCGTCATAACAGAATGTCGATGGAACGAAAGAGACTTCTTCTTCTTCTCTTGCGCTGTGATTGACGGCGGAGGAAACGAAGCATCGGCTAACCGCTAGCGAAGCTACATCTGCGGCCAGTTTCGAGGAGGAGTCGTGTTTGAAAGAACTTCAGCTGCTTCGCTGAGCTCCGGCAGCTAACGAGGAAGTTCCGCTTTACTGATGGCAACATTTCAGCTGGTGGCTTAAAACCAGCTCGCCCAGTTGGTTCCGTTTGGATCAGATCCGCCAAGTTAGCTGTTGGAGTCCAACCAGGATATAATTCAAACTTATTTTAAATTTCATTTCTCGTGAGTTTTTAGGCGAATTCTTCCGGTTTTTATTGTAAAGTTGAAACTAGTAGTAGTGTCAGCCAGTTCACATTTTGACGAGGAACTCTGTTTTTTCTGTTCCGTCCTGGACCCAAAGACCGGGTGAAGTGGAGTCCCCTGCCTCTTCACAGCTGAGAGCATCTGTTCGTCCTTACTGGACCTCCTCGCCATGGCAGCAGTGGTCGGATACTCTCCTCCATGGTGGGTGAACCTGCTGCACAGACTGCCCCACTTCAACCTCAGGTTTGAGCAAACGAGCAGTGACTTCCAACCAGAGGACTGGACGTACCAGCAGGTAAACGTGTCCAAGCTTTGATGATTTTAAACACACCACGTGCAGGTTTACAAGTCTTTGGAATTCTAAAGGACTTGTTGTATTGGTTCCAGATGACCTGTTCACACCTGTGCCTTTACTTCACCCTAATGTGTCTAAAGATTCTGACTCTGGATCAGAACATCTTGTGTCAGAAGATCTCAGAACTGGTTTCTCAGAACACACCATTGGTTGGTTCTCTAACTATCTCTCAGACCGGAGGCAATGTGTTCAACATAATGGTACTTCCTCCAGTTATTTAACAGTCAACAATGGTGTACCACAAGGCTCAGTCTTAGGACCCACCCTCTTTACAATCTACATAATGTAGGTAAAAACATCCCTGATGCATCCATACATTTCTATGCTGACGACACAGTTGTTTATTGTTGAGCTAAAACTGTTGCTAAGGCTTTCCAGCTTTTGAACTCTGCATTCAACATCATCCAGACTGATTTGTTTCGCCTCAAACTTGTCCTAAATGCCGACAAAACCAAAGGGATGCTCTTTTCAAATAGGAAGTTGGTTCCAGCAGTTCTTTCTTTGATCTCATCCTCAAATGGTGTCCCCATTGAGTTTGTTGATTCCTATAAATATTTGGGTATCTTGGTCGACTCACATCTCTCTTTTAAGCTCCATGTGGAAAACTTGGTAAAGAAACTGAAAGTTAAACTGGGTTTCTTTTTCAGAAACAGATCCTGTCTAACTCTGAATGTTAGGAAACACCTTGTATCTGTGACTTTCCTTCCCTCCATTGATCACGGTGACATTATTTACATGAACGCTCCTACAAGAACCCTGCAGATGTTGGATGCTGCAGATGTTGGATGCTGCAGATGTTGGATGCTGCAGATGTTGGATGCTGCAGATGTTGGATGCTGCAGATGTTGGATGCTGTCTATCATGGTGCACTAAGATTCATAACTGGCTGTGATTATCGTACCCACCACTGCACCCAGTATTCACTGGTTAACTGGTCACCATTAACTTCACACAGACTCTCCCACTGGTACATCTTCATCTTTAAATCACTTCCTGGTCTGCTGCCTTCATACATCTCCTCCTACATGTCTCTGTGTGAGTGCAGCTACAGCGTGCGCTCTCAGGACATCATTACCTGCAGTGTTCCCTCAGTGAGGACTGAACTAGACAAAAGGACCTTCTCCTACTCCGCTCCTGTTTCCTGGAATATCTTGTAAAAACATCTGAAGCTCTCGACCTTTGACCTCTCTAAGTGGCTTTAAGAATCTGTTGGACACCTGGCAGGGACCAATGCTGACATGTTCCTGTTTTTAGTTTTATACATTTGTCTTGAAATCTAGCTGTTTTTTGTTTTGTTACCTTTTCCTTTTAGCCATCCTATTTGTTAAAAAAAATCAAAAAAAACCTGTAGTATGCTTTTTTTATAACTGCTTATTGTTGTTGCTGTTGTCCATTGTTGTCATCTTTCTTTGTTAAATCAGGTCTCTCTTGTAAATGAGTCCTCGAGGCTCAATGGGATTTACCTGTAGAAATAAAGGTTGACTGATTGATTGATAATGAGCTGTCACCATCTGTGTGAAGCTGCTGTGTCCAAGCCTTGACCTTTGTCCAGACATTAGCCAACTGAGTCTTAACCTTTGTCCAGACATTAGCCAGCTGAGTCTTGACCTTTGTCCAGACATTAGCCAACTGAGTCTTGACCTTTGTCCAGACATTAGCCA